ATATACAGGTCGATTACGTTATTTTTGCTAGTTTTCTTCAGCTTACTGTATTTCTGCAAAACATAATACGCTTTTTAGTTATATATGACTGGATAGAGCATTCATTTCTCTATCGATCGGTATATTTTTTATCTGATTTATCTCTCATCTTGACCAAGAATTTAGCGAAGTTCTCAAAGCGCTCAAAAATTTTTTTTTACGGTGATAACGTTTGTCTCAGGGAAAATGGACCTCAGTATTTTTAAGATTTCTCCTCTGTTATCCATGTGATTAAAGTCGTTTTTACTATCAAAAGATAGCGCTTGAAATTCTCTACAAAACTATATATGACTAGGCCTAAAAACAGTTTTAGATATATTTGAAAAAAGACAAAAACTAAAGACATACAAACAGCTGTGAAAAGTAAATATGCGACCCATAATAAATGGCTGCAATTTGCATCTCGTATTTTAATTTCTAGATACATTTTATTAAAAAACAAATATACCACAACATGCAGCGTGAAAAGCTCTACAATCTACAAACTTAAGTTTATTTTACTTGTGTACTTTTTATATTCAAAAAAACTCAAAACTCTGTACGACCAATTTTCGCCGATGCGAAAATCGATCGCACAGAATTTTGAGTGTTTTTGAACATAAAAAGTACACAAGTAAAATAAATTGTGCTTTGTAAACTGTAGAGCTTTTCACGCTGCATCTTGTGGCATATTTTGGTTTTTTTAAAAGAAACATATTAGGTGATAAAAAGAGAAAATAAGAAAAAGGAATTTTCATTCATATAAAAAAAATGATCTTCTCACAATGGCAAAATTGGTCGCAGAATTTTGCTTTTTTTTGAAAGCAAAAAGTGTACAATTAAAATAAACTTTAGTTTGTAGATTGTAGAGCTTTTCGCGCTGCATCTTGTAATATATCTTGTTTTTTTAAATAAAGTGTACTTAGAGATTAAAATATGAAATGCAAAGTGCGGCCATTTATTATGGGACATACGTTATTTACTTTTTACAGCTGTTTGTATGCCTTTAGTTTTCGTCTTTTTTCAAATATATCTAAAACTGTTTTTGGGCCTAGTCATATATGATTTTGTAGAGAATTTCAAGCGCTATCTTTTGATAATAAAAAGAACTTTAATCACTAGAGTAATAGAGGAGAAATCTTAAAAATACTAAGAGACCCAATTTTTCCTTGGGACAAACGTTACCACCGTAAAAAAATTTTTTTGAGGGCTTTGAGAACTTCGCTAAATTCTTGGTCAAGATGAGAGATAAATCAGATAAAAAATATACCGATCGATAGAGAAATGAATGCTCTATCCAGTCATATATAAATAAAAAGCGTATTATGTTTTGCAGAAATACAGTAAGCTGAAGAAAACTAGCAAAAATAACG